CTTCCTTCCTTCCTTCCTTCCTTCCTTCCTTCCTTCCTTCCTTCCTTTCTTCCTTCCCTGCCCCCCCCCCTCTCTCTCTAATGGTCGGTTTACCTTGATCTACATCCGAATCTTCTCTAGCGTCGGTGCCAGGTTATTCCCTTTCCTAGCAAACTCTCCCGCCTTCTTCCTCCCATTCCCGAAAAGTTTGACTCCGGCTGGAAAAGGCATTAATGGATGTATCTGTGGGAAGAAACGGAAAGTGAATGAGTCAGGAGGGCCACCTTCGGCCAAAGGCCCAAGGGAAAGGAAAGAGGCCAGAGGCGTTTGGCTTTGGATTTGGTGGGGGGAGAAGGTGGGGGGGGGGGGTGTTGCAGACTGCAGGAATCAGGGCGCGGACACTGGGCGTAGACCCCGTCATTGTTCCTGGTCAGCTCTTATCTCCCAGGAGCAAGTATCCTGTGTGCGCAGTGCATGAATGTATCTGGGCATCTCCGCGTATATTTATATAGCGAGTGATGCGAAAAGCAGGGCTAGGCAAGGAGAGGAAGAGGGGGTGTGGGGGAGGGAAGACAAGAGAGAGCAGAGAAGAGAGAGGAGAGGGCGAGGAGAGAGAGAGAGAGAGAGAGAGAGAGAGAGAGAGAGAGAGAGAGAGATAGGACTTCCTCCCCGATCGCAAAGTGAAGTCACTTCCCAAAATTAGCTGAAAAAAAGTTTCATCCGGTTAACTGTCTCTTTTTCGATCCGCTACAACAACAAACGTGCACAGGGGAGCGAGGGCAGGGCGCTCGCAGGGGGCACTCAGGGAGGGCCCAGGGCGCCAGAGAGGCCGCACCGTGCTAATCTGAAGGGGCTACGAGGTCAGGCTGTAACCGGGTCAATGTGTGGAATATTGGGGGGCTCGGCTGCAGACTTGGCCAAATGGACGGGACTATTAAGGTAAGCAGGGGGCAGTGGGCTCGAGACTCGGGCCGACTGGGGCTGCGGGAGGACTGGGCGCCGGGGTCCCGGAAGACGTGGCCGCTCACCCTTCCTTCCGCGCTCCGACTTGCGCGGTCTCCTCTGGGCGGGTGGCGAGTCCCCCCTTTCCGAGGAGGCCGGCCAGCCTTCCCGCCGAGGGCTATCTACCCCTTATTCCTCGCGCCACAGTGGAGTCCCATAAGCTTCTACCGCGCCGCACGCGAGGCTGCAAGACCCAGCAGCCGAAACCTGGGGAACCGGGGCGCGGACCAGAGTCTAGGGCTGGAGACCGCCGGGTCGCTTCCCACCCGGCAACCGGGCGCCCTGGCTCCGGCGCCGGGCACTCGTCTGGCCGCCAGCTTCCTCTTGCCAGAGGCCGAGAGCGGCGCGGGCAGGGGTAGCGTTTGTCGCTAGCTGAGGTCCCCAATACCCGGAGCCAGTTACAAGGCTAGCTGGAGGTGGGGAGGGGTGCAAGAGAGTGTTGTCTGAGGATCCGGCTGAGGCGGCGGGTCCAGATGGAAGCCCCTGTTTACATGTCAGCCAGACTGGTTTCTCTTCCCCTCACACTGCTGCTGCCCGACGTTCTGCCGACGCCGGTTGCCCGGACTAACGGCCCGCCTAGCAGCTCCTCCCGGCTGGAAATCTCCTGGCTCCGCCGCTCCCCTGAATCCTAGATCTAGCACTCCGTGCATGCGCCAGCTTCAAAACAAGGGTTCCAGGAGCTGTCCTCTCGATAAGAATTAAACCCCTTTACAACCACTCGCCTGCGATGGCTGGTTCTGAGCCCGTGGCCCGGGGCTGTCTTGTCGATTCCACCACCCAATCTGCGCCGCCCCGCCTGGGTCTAGGTTGCAAAGGGCCAGCCCAGAAGACCCGTGAGTCTGGGTTCCCTGTCACGCTTCAGAACGGCTGACTCTTCAGAAAGGGGGAAGTGGGGCTAGGAGCAGAGAAGAGGGACACCCCCTTACGTGACTAGCCTTAGAGGACTTAGGAGAATGAATGAGACCAGACGTTAGCTTCAAGGCTGCCATACAACACCAAGCAGGAGTTGGTCTGGAAAAACTATCAGGCTGGTGAGGTGGGGACTGGCCGAGCCCGCCATTCCTCAGAACTCAGAGGAATGGACTTCCTACCAAGGACTTGACTGAAAGGAGGCTAAGGTGTTGGGCTTAGAGAATTCAACAGATTCTTATCTCCTGGGTGGGGACAAAGTGTTTTTATTTTCTAAGTCCTCTCTCTCTCTCTCTCTCTCTCTCTCTCTCTCTCTCTCTCTCTCAACATGCTGACTGAGGTAAAAGGCACCAACTGCAGGAACTTGAAAACAGATGAGATAACTGATTGGAAGGGTTTTAAGACCATCTAATAGTTTTTTTTATTAAACTTGAGTGAGTGGGGGAGAGCCCTGCTCTAGAGACCTGAGAGTGGAGGTCACTGGACCTTTTCACCAGGTTCCTTGCTTCCTATTGGTGAGTTCAGGCAAGAGCCTGCATCTTCAGGTTCAGTAACCAGAGGCTCCCATAGAACCTTCACATCCCCATTCAGAACATGTTCTACTCGTCCCCCCACCACCAAGACTCCCCTTGGATTCAGAAGGGTGGCAATATGGCTCCAGAGGCTTGATGGGGACACTCTGAAGAGAAATGAAGCAATATCTATGCAGTATTCAGACCTCTAAACACAGGCCATGAGCCTTGGAGGAAGCTGTGGTCTGTTTACCCAGATGTGTTAACCTCACTTTATGCACACATTGGGATGGGCATTGAAATCAGCCTTAGACCAGAAGTTTGGCACTTCATTCCAAAGATGGGAGCGCTGACTTTTGTAGGATGAATGACTGGCACCCACGAGCTCCTCCAAAGCCTCCCAAGGATCACCTTGCTTTTCACCTAGGTGACCCAACTCCACAGCCACGACAGGCCATTCTCTTTCTTTTCCAACTTTTCTGTATGCCAAGGCTCTGGAAGATTAGGTCTTTAGTGTAGCCTTCAGCACTTTAGCTGTGTAGATGCCATGGGCTCCTGTTTACACGTAACCTTTAGACTTGGGGATTGCGGCCCCCAGTTACAAGATGGTTCAGTGTCATGCTTGGAAAATACTAACAGGTACTGGATTGGAAGAAAGGTCAACCAGCTTCTGATCTTGATGTATGAATTCACAGTTATTAAACTGCTTTGAGCCTCAATCTTCATTAAAAAACAAAACCCATGGGGCTGCCTTACACTTGTGTTTCCAGCTGCTGACACACTAACCCACTCTCCTGCCCTATACTGACCGAGGTCAGAAGACACTATAGCTCCGACTCTAATTTATAGACGTAAACTCAGAGTGTGAGTTGCCAGATTGAACCACCTAGAGAAAGAGTGATTTCTATGATGCGATTTTATGCACCTGTGTGCATCTTCCTCAGTCATCAAATTTGGAAATGCCGGTGGGTCTGGATGCCCAGGATGCCCATGGCTCAGGATGCCAGGGACATCTGGTTGTCTTTACAGCCACGCTCACAGATCGTGTTGTCCTTCCAAACGATGTTCTCTACTTACCCAAGAATGTCTCTTGGGAGAACTCACACAGAGAACCTCATAATCTGGCTGCTCTTCTTCAGCTATAGACAAGTTAACCTGCCATGTTAAACAACGCCCTACCCCACCCCTGCTCCCCACAGTGATATTATCAGTGTTGGAAAGCACGTGATACTGCTCGCTGCTTGAAGAAATGACCTGGTTTCAAAACCTCATCTCCGTTCTAGGCAGGCTTCCTTTGATCAGATCGATGCCATCTGTAGAGGCATGAATGTAAAGTGCACCATCAAAGATTGGGGGTCAACCAGAGAGGAGTGAGACTGGTGCAGAAAATTGAGAAATGAGGAAAGCAAGGAAGAAAGGACTCGGAGAAAGCCTGGGTTCACCCTCATTTCTTCTACTCACTGTGTGTGTCCTAGTCAGGATCTTTGGTCCTGAGTCTCAGTTTTCTCATCTGCAAAGTAGGTCTACAGTCGCAGTAAGGATGAGATAAAATCTGCTACTTTAGGGGAATGCACCTTCCCTGAACTTCATCGTGGGTTAGATCTAGAAGAGGCTTGTTGGTCACAACAGTAGAATATAGGTCTGAATTTATCATTACCCATATTTCATGACTTTGCTTTGTGTTTGTGATGCACTTCTCGTGCCTGGGGCTCTACTTCATGTCTTTGGGGAAACAGCAATTGAATGGCTCTAGAGAAGGTGATGGACACAGGGAGAACATGTATTAGGGCTCACATGTGATGGTGTTAGACCAGGCAGGAGAACCAGGGTAACACTGCTAATAAGGAGTTGAGATAGCCCTTCTTTCTGCAGAACCACTCAATGATGGTAAAGGAAAGAGTGAAGTTGGGGTTGCAGCTGTGGGCTCTGAACCAGAAGAGAGCCTTATGCTATGCAGAGGGCAGGCTGCTGCTAGCAGGGAGGAAAAACTTGGGAAGGAGCCCTAGGAAGAGGCAGTCAAGAAGGAGCACACCAAACAGGGGCAACTTTGGCTTCTGCCCTCCAGATGGGCCTGTCATCCTCCCACGACTCCACCTCAGTGTCAGCTAGATTCACAAGGACTCCAGAAAAACGAGATGGTTATTTTGTCCATCCCCATGCCTACATGATTGCTGTCTGAAATAACTACCAAGTGAACTCCTGCCACTGGAAAGCCTTCTTCTCCTACTATTCAGACTCACAGATTTGCAACGTCAGAGATTTGGGAAACGTTCATCCTGACGCTTTCGGTTTTCCCTGTAGGAAAACGGAGGCCCAGGGCACGCAGTGGGAAGAGCACAATCACAGGACGCAAAGTGAAAATTCGGGATTCCTAAGAAGCAGACAAAGCAGTGCTCTTTCCACTATAGCGCGAGGGCATCACTTGTCCCGTTGGTTAAGATCACGCAGTACTGCAGGGAGAGCTTCACACAGAAATCATGAAATAGCTGCCGCCTTAAACTGATGACACTCCGTAATTGAGTGGCAGATGTATTCCTCCTATCTTAAATTACATCTACACACGCATACACACCACCACCACAACCAACAGCCGCAGCAACAACACTACAACAGCAACAAAAGGTGACAAATGTCCAAAATTTCAGATCGAGTTGGAAAACACAGCTGTTTTGACTGTATGCAACACAAAGTTCCCATTGTCAAGAAACCACCCAAAATATACCAGTATTTAAATAACCAGTATTTAAATATACCAGTGTTTAAGTAACCAGGAGGTCCCTCTATTGATGGTGGGCAGGTATAAAGAATGAATTTTTGCCTCTTTAAACAAAATACTCTCAGATATATTAGGACATACCTAATAGATTCTATTTGGAAGCAAATAGTCTTTAGTAACAACCCCATTAAATACGATGTATGTATTTAAATTTTCAGTGTCTTCTTTAGTTTGAAGTTGAGCAGTTAGGTTGGTATTGGTTTTAAAAATTGTTTGGCTGATATCAAACCTTCCCCCACTCCAGAAATGTAGCATTAGTCCAACTCCCTCCCACGACAAAGAAAATCTCAGC